AGCGGACCACTGCGGCGCCCCGCGATGCACACTCCCCCGCTGGGACCGTGCTGCTCTGGGAGGAAGAATCTCGGAGGGGGGCGCTTTGGGAAAAGTGTGACTTTTAGAATTATACCTTCCAAAACTCATTGTCATCCCGCGTCCCTTCCCCCGCACCCATCGTAAATCGCGCCTATAAATAACTGGACAGAGACAGAAGGGATCCCAGCTGGCCTGGCGGCGGCTGCTGCTACTATCACTCCCCAGCAGACGTGGGTCCGATGAGGGCAGCAGCGCCAGGGTGGGCCACCAGCGCCCACGATACGCCCAGCGACTGCTCTCTCTCTCGGCAGGTACCATTGGCGCCAGAGTTGGCCCTCACTCACCTCCTCCCCAAATAACCGCATCCCTATGGGTGAGGCCCTTCCCCAAGTTCACTTGGCCCCAGTAGCAAAGGCAGTAGCAGCAAAGGGAAGTTTGCCAAGATGCCTTCAACGTCTTGAGCAAAATGGATTCCAAGATGCCACTTTCTTCTCTCGGAGCCCTGCTGGGGCCCGGTTGCCAGGTGAAGAGGGTGATCTCTAAGGGAGCCTAGTTCGAGGTTGGGCTGGGCTGTGCCACATTCTCGCCCTCCTCCCTCCCTCCTCCTTCCCTCCTCCTCACTCCGTGTAGTGTTGGTCCGCACACCAGCTGGCTGCTAGGTGTGCAGAGAAAGGAAGCCCTTCTACTGGGATGAGAAGGTGAGGTATGCATTCCCCAGTTCACTTTGGGGATTGCGGGCCAAGTCAAGCATTATCGAAACATGTAACTTTGGCACAGGAAAATTTAAAGTCTCTAAAAATTAGGGAAGAGACTGGGTCTTTCCAGGGCCATCCTCTTAGAAGGTGGGAGATGCTGACAGAGGCAGTGGCCTTACATGTTAGACGCATTTTCTCCTCTTCTCCCTCCCCATTTGGTGGGATTTTGGCATGGTCCGGCTCCTCTGACCAAACAAAAGTCCATTAACCCTTGAAATTGCCTAAATTAGCTACAGACATTGGAGCTGAGTAGGGCTGGGAGAGGGGCTAGGTGTGGCTGGGGATGCGGCTAGAGTCCAGGCAGTTGGGGCATGAAAAAATTTATATATTGATAATCCTGCTCTGTTCCTGAGTGCAGATCGGCTGTTCCCTTTGAGGTTTCAGTGCCAGCCTGCCTTCCCATAATGCCATGTCCACTATTATCTTTCATCAGGCAAAACCCAGGCACTTTGAAAATCATAGTTTACAAACTTAATTAATAGTAATAGCAGCAGCAATTGTAGAAATGGTGGTGCTGATAGCAGTTCTAGTAAAAACAGCAGCAGATGAAGTAGTAGTATAGCAAAGATGGAATATGCCCATCCCTCATAAGGTACAGCATGATTCCCTGTATTTCCTGTAAGTCTCTGGCATGCTTCTTACTGCCTGATGAATAGTTAAAGGGCAGAGTGGCTGTGGGTGGAGGAAGAGGCAGTCTGGATCACTAATGCAGTGATTTCAGAGTGGTAATGGAGTCATATTTGTTATTATCCATGGGCATTCTGGGGTTGCCCCTCACCCCATACTTTTGGCTGCTGGCCTGTGGCTAGCACTGCCCATCGCCCAGCCCAGAAGTGGTGGTTATATTTCCATGGTGAGACCAAAGATGTGCCTGTCCTTGGTCAGGCCAGCCCAGTCAGGGCGGGGTTAAGATCTGGACAGCTCCTCCCCTTCTACCCTTATTCCACATACACTTTGGAAAACTTCAGTGTGTTATGGGTAGGGGTAGAAGTGGAAGAGCTGTCCACTCTGCTGCCTTCTCCAGTTCTTACCACTAATAATTTGTGTGCACTATGGTAGGCCCTCTACATACATTTTTTAAATCTTTAAAACAACTCAATAAAAGAAATATGAGCATTGTTTTGCAGAGAAAAAAACCTCTGCAGTTCTATAGCCATGTAATTCCAAATCTATGTTCTTGTCATCACACCCTGCTGGACAAAATCAGCATCCTCTAGTCTAGACTCTCTCCCCCTGGAGTCCAGGCTCAGATAGACTCTGGAGCCTTTACACTCGGAAAATTCTGTTGGGAGCTCTTAGCCCTGATAACCAGGAGAAAGAAGTACAGTATCTTGATTCACAGTTCTGACAGGGCTATTTCCAAATATTGACAAGTTTCACATAAAAGAGCAGTCTTGTCAAAGCCAAAATAGGTATTCTGTATAGAAAATTCAGCTGAGAGAAAGGATCCACACAGAAGTCACCCGGAGAAGTAGAAGCCTGATGGTTGCCTTTGGACAGTGCATAGCATCAGTTACTACTATTGCAGAAATCCTGGAAAACAGAAACGTGTCCTTTCTTGTTGGATTACAAAAGTAATACCTACCTACAAAATGTACTGTCCTTTAGAAAATACCAAAAAGTATGAGGAAGAAAATAGAAAAGTCCCTTTAACCCCACCACCTAAAGGAATCCATTGTGATATAGTTCCTTCCTCTATTTTTTTTCTATACATAAATGTAAACTGTTTATAAACAAAGGACCTCCGGTATCCTGCTTTTATTTCCACTTACCATATGTCCGAAGCACTTTACATCTCATTAAAATATGTTCATGAAGATTCTTTTAAATGGTGACATACATTTTTTTAATGTGTATTTACAGTTATTATTTAATGCAAAGGGGAGGAACGATTATCACTGTTATTCTTGTTAGAGTCAGAGCAGTGCAGTGTGGCCTGTAAGATGTCCTTTCCCTCTTGTGTCTGCCAAAAGGAAGCAGACAGCTACTGCAAGTTTGTTCTGGCAAAAAGGGAACTGACTTTTCCATCGGGGCTGCAGTGCCAGCTGAGGAGCCCAGCAGGCTCCCGGCGGGAGCAGTCTGAAGGTGTTCTCTCAAGGATCCATCCTCCTCTACACAGCGGGGCATAGAGGGAGAGGTTTGGGGGTTGGAAGGAATTTGGACTAGCCCAGAAGTACCTTCAGGTATAGGCCGTGTTGCTAAGGGTATCACAGCACTAAACAAAAGGCTGTTGTGAGGCTTCTGGAGGAAACTAGGTTCAATGGAGTCTTGTACTCTGCATGGAAGGCTCCAAGACAATAACAAGGGGGCAGCTAGGAAAAAATCAATTTGGATGACTTCAGGGGACCACATGAAGGGTGTGCAGGCAATTTGCAAAGTGCTCATAGTTGTAGTTTCTTCTGGATTGGCGTTTCTTCTGATTAGTAGGGATCTGGCCAATGGTACAAGATGCCAGGACTTGGTTATTCTCTTCTCTAAGAAATTCAAGGAAAGAGATGGGAAGCATCTTGTTCCTTAAGAATTCTAATGTCTTTGGTACAATGGTTAGAAAAGACTTCCTCACTTGCCTGGGGCGATATAGGAATCCAGTCTTTACCAAGGCTGCAAAGGAAGCATGTCTTGGCCTGATGATCAACTCCGCTTGACCTTCAACAAAACAGGACTCCCCCGGGGCCTTGGAATGTTCTGTGCAGAACCTCTTGAAGGGCAGAGCCTTTTGCTCTACGTCTGTTCCTGTGGGGCTGTGGTGGCCTCAGCTGGGGTGTGATCAAAAGGTTGCAGCACATAATGACTTTGTTGGTATTTTCAAATGATGTTTGAGACTGAAATACCAGTGGTGATTGGTGCAGACAGGCCACGGCATTGGATCTAAAGACAAGATGGGAGTCAGCTTAGGCCTCTGTCCATGGCATACACTGTGGCTTTGGGTAAGCCCTTACCGTGTCATTTTACCTCCATTTTCCCATCACAGTGGTTCTCAACCTTCCTAATGCCGCGACCCTTTAATACAGTTTCTCATGTTGTGGTGACCCCCAATTTCATTGTTACAAATTGAACATAATTAAAGCATAATGATTAATCACAAAAACAATATGTAATTATATATGTGTTTTCTGATGGTCTTAGGCGACCCCTGTGAAAGGGTCATTCGACCCCCAAAGGGGTCGCGACCCACAGGTTGAGAACCACTGATTTAGAGCTATGTTTGGGAGATTTTTTTTTTTTAGTTTGTTGTACCAAAGGGGAAAATAATCTCCATTGGTCCCAACTGAAGCCCAGAACAGGGTCTAGAGAAGTCACACTGGGAAAAGGCCTTGGGTGGAAACCAGTTTTATCAGTGCTTATGGATATGACTTAAAGCCATGGGACCAGGGCCAGTTACATAATTTGTGGGGCCCAGTGCAGACTGGAATTGTGGGGCTCCTTGTTCAAAAGGCAGGGGAGAAATGTCATTAAAGTTCTTAAAAGGTAAAGCTTTTTTCTTTCTCTCATGCTGTCTCTCTCCCTTGACTTGACGTGGTGTTTTTATTTGCTATTTAATGTCAATATAAGAACATTAAAAATTTAAATTATTGGCATGCAGTTTAATGTTCATCTTTATACTGTGCAATGCCACTTTTAAATGGATATACAAGAGCACATAACTTGTATATGGAATCATATAAATTACACATTTCACATTTTGTAGCTTATATATGCATATTATTCTTATTAAAACAGTGGAAATGCTGATAAAACAAACTCAGCTGTTTTTATTTCACTTCTTTATATGCATACTTTATGTACATACTTTCTATCATGCTTGGCTTTCTGTTGAGTAAAAAAAGAAAAAGGAACTGTAGTTTACCCTGACTCTTTCTTCCTATGTCATCATTTTCAGCCTGAGTGGTTGGCTAATACAGGGAAGTGACATAAGTAGAAAAGGCTATGACAACATTATTGCTTTCTTTCTGCATTTGAAGCAATTTCTGGACTGAATGGAAAGCCTAATTTCTTGGGGCTGTCAGCATCTCTGCTTGCATATAGAGCTAAAACTCTTACCGTGTGCTCTAGTTGGATCCTTCTAAACTGTCATGCATTGTGAATCCATTGGAATTCTGTGCTCATTGGGCATCGTGATTGCTATATGCAAATAGGGCTGCAAAGAACGATGTGCCTATCTCTTTTGCTCATGTTTATGCTCCATCATCCCATCAGACTTCATTTACAAAACACAATTTCAAAGATAAAGTTATTAAGAATTTTAACAAGGCAACAGCAGAGCATTAAGTCAAATACAGGGCCCTTCTGTGTATGAGTCTTATGTGACTATATAAGTCGCCCACCCTTGAAGGGGCACTAGATGACTAGGTGGATGCAACTAAAGTGGGCACAATTAGATACAGACTTTGAGGCAGACAAAGGGTGTTTAATAGAAATTGTTGTGGAACCAACGAACCAAGCAAAAAGATAGATGAATTACAAATGCAAGAACTCAGTGGTAAAAAGGGGGTCAAGAGCTAGAGACAAGAGGTAACCTGGTAGCCAGAAGATGGGTTGTTGGGGTAAGAATCGGTCCAAGGAAGAGGAAAGAAGGGCTTTATGCTAAGATGCTCAGGCAATGTCTTGCCATCTGGATGGGAGAACCTGACTGGCCAAATCATTGTTGACCTGAAGCTGTTTGTTGGGCAGCACCTTGACCAATAAATCTTAAGACTGTGAATGTAGCTTCTAAGACCATCTTTCAAAAAAGGATGTGAGAATTGAAACTTGTAGAATGCTTTTAAGGAAAGAACATTCTGAATGTAGACTTCGGGCAGAGTTTCTAAAGTGGATTCTGAAGCTCCTTGGTTTACATCCAAGGGAAATGAAAACTCGTTAGGACATCATGAAGTCAGAGGTTCTGTAGCCAAATACATGGGAGTGCCCCATCCAAGGCAAGGGGATTCGGCAGCAGCACAGACAGGAAGGCCAAGATGATCTCTCCTTCCAGCTGTTTTCTTTCACCGCCAGGCTATGCCTACTCCACGCAAATAGGATGAAAATCAAATGTTTCAACAAACCAATCAGCAATTTCCTAATTAACATAGAGGAAGTATAACTTGATGAACCGGGACTTGAACTACAAGTTCTGGCTCTAATATGCTGGGTGCCTTGGCATTTAACTTTTTGGGCCATGGTTTTCTGATTTATAAAAAATCTAGGGTTGGATTCCAGGTTCTCAAGGGTCCTTTCCGGCTCTTAAAAGAAAATTTCTCTCTAGATGTGAAGGCAGTCTGGCAGCGACATCTGTCACCCCATTGATCACCAGGGTTGATTAGGCTGATCTGGGTGTCACCTTCCTCCCTCACTGCTCCATGTACATCCCTCCTGACACTACACACTAGGTCAAAGAGGAAGACCTTCCCAACTAGAGGAGGATCGCTCTTCAGTCAACGGTATACAAGTAGCCACACTCCCCTGCTAGAACCTCCAAACAAGCTCTCAGGGTCCATTTGTAGAACACACGGTAGTCAAACTTCCAAGGCTCCAGACACATCCACATGAGGCACTGCCTGTGGCTGTCTGCCATTCTTTATGAACATTGTGGCCCTTCACACAGAATGGGGTAGTTCTGTGTGTGCAATATAGACCAGTCTCCAAAATCAGTTATTACATGGAAAGGCAGAAATACAGAACAGCATTTACTAGTAATATGATTCACTTGTGTAAAAATAAATAAATAAATAAATAACATAAACTAGCATAAGAATATATGATAGTATGGTGTTTGCATTCAGGATTATCTGAGCAGTCCCCTCGGGGGTCCCCTGGATCTGTCTTTTGCTTCAACAGTGTTTGGATGGAACAGGGACACTCCTTCTGCCAGCTTCCTACCACCCTCCAACCTCTTTTCCAGTCACCACCTTTAGAACCTTCTCAACCATCCTCAGCCTCTGAGACCAGCCAACACTATTTTTTTTAGCTTAACTCCTTATTGCCAACCATGAGCTCCCAAATTTGTCAGAATTATTCCACCAGGGTGGAGACTGCGGTCAGCCATCTGGTAAACCTGCCTCTGTGAGCCTCCTGCACCTACCTTTCTCGGGGCTTCTATTTCCACTGTGACGATGTGGCTCTGGAGGGCCTGGACCACCTCATCCTCAAGAAGGCAGAGAAGAAGCCCGAGGGCACCAAGTGTCTCTTAAGGAAGCAAAACCAGCTCTGTGTCCACATTCTCCTTTAGGACGAGCTGAAGCCTTCCCAAGGTGAGTGGGGGCAAAACCCAGGACACCAGGAAAGCTGCTGTGGTCCTGGAGAAGAACCTGACCCAGGCCCTTTTGGATCTAGATACCCTGGGTTCTATCCTCACAGACCCTCATCTCCTCACTTCCTGGAGAACCACTTCCTGGGTGAGGAGGTGAAACCTATCAAGAAGATGGGCGACACCCGACTCAACTCCGCAGGCTGGCGGGCCTCACCTGGGCTGGGCCAGTATCTCTTGGAAAGGCTCACCCTCAAGCAAGACTAGGAGCCTTTGGAGCCCAGAGGCCTTTGAGTGGCCCCTCTGCATCCCCCTGGTGTCTGGCTTCTGCCTGAGCTTCTCCCTGCAACCTCTAAGCAGCCTTTTAACCACCCTAGAGCCTTCCCCCATGCCTTGGACCAAATGGGAACAATAGAGATTCTGCAGCAAGAAAAAAAAAATCTGAAATCATACAAGTGAAGCTGTTAACTGAACTTGAAAAAGGGATGGGGCAGAAGAGTTGCAGACAGAGACTAACTTTTTCATTATTCAGATTTTATTGTTTTTAGAGTATTTTAATATTCACAACAAAATTGAGGAGAAGGCACAGATATTTCTTATTTTCCCCCTGCCCTCACACAGGCATAGCCTCCCCCATTATCAACATTCCCCACCAGAGTGGTACATTTGTTACAATTGATGATCCTACATTGCCAAGTTGTAATCACTCCAAGTCCAAGGTTAAACGTTCGGGTTTGCTTGTGTGTTGTACGTTCTCTGGGTAAAGACAATACTAGTATATGACATGTATCCATCACTGTGGTATTACAGAGTGTTTTCACTGCCCTAAAACTCTCTGTGCTCAGTCTCTTCATCCTGTATCTCCCGCTCCTAACCCCTGGCAAACACTGACTTTTCTTTTTACTGTTCTCCCTGGTTTTGCCTTTTCCAGAATGGCATGTAGTTGGAATCATACAGTGTGCAGCCTTTTCAGATTTGCTTCTTTCATTTAGTAACATACATTTAAGGTTTCTCCATGTCTTTTTAACTTTTTATTTAAAATTTTCTCTAGTGTTTGACTTTCCTAACTGTATGCAGAATTGCTTTTATGTTTTAAGAAAAACGATGACAGAATTATCTGTGTAGAGAAATCATAGTTTTGCTTTCTTTTTATTTTCCTGAAGAAAACCCACCTTATAAACATAATTTTTAATGCCATTCTGGATATTACCTATGCCTTGCCTATGCTTGTCTGATAGTCATGCCAAAGATGTCAAGCAAAATGATCCCAAATTTTCTCTTAATAGCCCATAGTAGGACACATTCCTCTTTCTCCAGTGGCCACCACCCCAGTCCACACACAGGGCTAGATCCTGGCAGCATGGTACTCCCCACCCCCTTGGAGGGGGGTGCCCTTCTGGACTCAGTAACATGTTAGTGACAGCTTGAATCTGCTGGTCAGTCAGCGAAGAGAGTTGGGTCAGAGCTTGTGATATACCTGGTCCCAATCATGAGCGATGTACCTCTGGTGTTAATGAAGGGATAGTGTGGGTGCTCAATGGCCAAGATTCTTGTAAGCCCCTGAGCCCAGTGATGGCTCAGGCACAGCAGCCTGAGAGCATCGGAAGGAAACTCAATCATTTGTAGTCTTTTCTGGCTCTTCAGAGGCCAAATTTAAATCCTTTCTCTTCTCAAAATGTGGCATGGCGCAGTGGGAACCAGGGGTCTGGCCAGATCCTGCTGCTAACTTGCTCTGTGACTGTGGACAAGTCACACAACTCTGCCTTCAGGTTCCCC